TGTCCAGTATTTGGAAAAGTTACCAGACTATGTAGAAAGCAAGGTAAAGCAAGACAAAGAAGTACAAGACACAGAAATGAGAGAACTCGAGGAAATGGCTATGAAAGAGAAGGCAGTAAAACAGGCAGAAAAGGAGACGAGTTCACCACAAGCAGCATCAAGCAGCTTTGGAAGAAAGAGGAAGCCAAACAGCCGTTACACAGACTTATACAAAGTCGAGATGACCACAACAAAATCTCAGCATTACAATGAAGAAGACACAAGAACAGACTTCGAGGATAGTGAGTATGAGGATGAACTCTATGGAGAAATGCCAGGTAGCCCCAAAATAACTGAGGTGAGAAAACTGATTCGTGGGAAACGTGGCCGACCCCCCAAGGTGAGAGTGAAAGGACATGGGCGACATGGGGGGACTACTTGGATGGCTGGGTATGGTGCAGAAAAGACAAAACCCAAGAGTTCAACCTTGTTCAGAATGTGTGAGGACGACGATGATGAGGATGATGAGGAAGTTGAAGAAGAGGAGGAGGAAGAGGAAGAAGAAGTAGTTAAGGAAGAGGAAGAAGAGGAGGAGATAACAGATGACTCAGTGAGTGTCAGTCTCCAGAAAGTTATTGATAATGAAAAGGAAAAAGAGAAGAGAACTCAAGACATAAAAGGAGATGAAGTGGACATAGACTCTGGACAGATATGTAAGTATTAGTATCTGATACAAACTAAAAAAAAATATTTTAGATTTATTTCCGTCATCCATAAAAGCATCAGTCTAATAGCAAGTTCAAGAGAATTTATCTTAGAGATTTTATTGAAAAAATTCTTTTGTTTACACAAATGGCTTTACCAAGTGCTTAGTCACCAAGGAACCAATTACTAAGCTTATCTGACCTCACTTGTTTACTCTTTTCCTTGATTTTTTTTAGAGTAGTTTATATTTCCAATACTATTATTACTATTAATGTTATTGTTATAATTGTTGATATTATTATTGTCATTATAACATTATTACAACATAAGAATAGTAATAAAAATACAAACTCAATAAATGAGGTAAACAGGTGAAATCAGGTAGACCTAGTAATTGACCTCATGATGTCTAAGCACTTGTGGAACCATCTATGTATAAACAAAATTAATTACCTAAAATCACAGTGAACTGGGCATGTGTATGAATGTGTATATTAATCAACTAGTGAATATATATTTTGACTGGAGATTTTATTATCATTTATAGATTTTTGATTGAGTTCATTTCATTTCAGGGTACTGTGTTGACTTTCCCTCTGCAGCCATGAAAGCCTCAATTCCTTTGACATTAGCTCAAGTAACAGAAACTTTTGGTAAGTCTGATGATTATCATTAATGACAAACAATGTGAAATAGAAATGCTTTTATGTTCTTTGATTCTTGTTTTACTTTTCTGTATTCAATAAGTAGGCCTGGACTTTGTATATATGTTTTATCTCCTTTACTGTTACCTTAATTTGTACAAGTTTATATTATAATATAATTAGGTATGTCATGACTGCATTTGGATTTCAGAGAAGATCATTCAAGGAAAGATGCTGGTATATACGTCTCAAGTCTTGATAGCAAAATCAGGAGATGTCTTTGCTCTAGCTGATGAAGTTGGTAAGTTCTGAAACAAATAAAATCACACAAAGTATCATTACTTATATATACAGCTGATAATCAGTTATATCTAAGTAAACTGACAAATAGCCTGGTTTCATGTAAATTTGTAATGAAAGTAATGATAAGATTTTTAAGACTGTCATGTTCATATAGGAATACTATTACTTTCCTATAATCCCTTGTGGCATGTATGTACTTACCATGGCATGAATGGTATATGAAGCTTCTGTTGGCATAATGTGTAGATATTCCAGTATACCAGAGAAAATGGATTAGCAGTTTTTGGTCTGATGTACATTAATATTGAAAGGGATTAATTTTGAAATCTATTTCAGCCCTTAGTGATACCGAGTTGTGGTCAATGAAAAGTAGCTTCCCTCAGCAAAACATGCCTGGTTTGACTGTCACATGGTATGATCGCACCACAATGCCACAGGATTGTTTTGATCTGCAAGATAAGCAGCCTGATGTCATGGTGAGTTTGCAGAAAGACACTATTGCCATTTATTGATTTTGGTAATTTCATCTATTATCTGTAGGGGCAGACTTCTTATATATTCACAATTGGTATGTAAAATATATTTTTTTATATATCCTTTTACAGTCCTTATGTAACATACTAGATCATCTGAACTTTTTTCTGTGTAGTTTAGAGTAATTTTTGTCAGCATACCTTAGCTTCTGCAATTTTGCCTTTCATGACTAAATCCAAGTATAGAAATGTACCTTTGTGTATGAATATAGGGCAGCTCTTTCTCTTAAGTTTTAATTTGCTTTAGTTACTCAAGAGATCGTTTGTTAAACACAAACCCCCAGGTGGTTATGATTAAAATCTATTTAGGTATGGTTGAGGTGACTTAAAATCAAAGAAAAAGTACTCACAGTTTTTTTTTTTAAAGTATTAACTAATTACAGTTTATCTTCCTGCTAAACTGCAAAACAAAATTTATTAAAAGTATTAACTGATTACACCTCATCTTCCAGCTGATTTACAAATCAAAAAAACATGCCAAATTCTGCATGGTCCACTACCTCACCCTAGAGTCATCTGGCTTGAAGTCTCCTGTTGTCTTGGCTGGGTCTGATACCCCAAGCTCAGACTCTGTCCTGCAGTTATTAGATGATCCAGAAACTATATCGGAATGCTTTGATGATCTGAAGATTAATGCTCTCCATGCAAGTGAAAGCTTAGCAAGCACATCAGCAAAGAACACTCAGGAACCTAAGTTGAATACAGAGAAGAAGGGAAAGTCTCCTGGACGGCCAAGGCATAGGGGACTGACGAGTGAAGGGGAGCTGGAGACCAAAGGGAAGAAGGTCTTTAGAGAAGGGCAACAGGAAGGGAGAAAAAGGGAATATGCAGATGGTGAGAACTAAAACATAGTTGTTATTATTGATTAATTTATTTCATTTATTTACATTTTTGTCATAGCTAATCTAATTTGGAAACCTGCCACACTGAGAAAGAAAATATTAGTTATCAATGATTCTAGTATTTTTATACATATGACTCAGTGAGGTACACACACATTCCTTCAGAGATTCTGTTGTTGCCTAGTAAAGCATCTTAAATAAATATAGTATTATAAAGAAAAATGTATATCTGAAGGAATATGAATGCTGTTGCTAACTGCTGTAGATCACTTCTTATATTAAGTCTTACTGTAACTGAGTCTGTTTTTATTTCTGTGGTTTTCAGATGAGCCCCAGCCTTTCCGCATTTATACTAAAGGGAAGCTGTACCATGCTGACGCAGATGAAATATTTAGTAAGGAAGATTTATTACTCATTTGAACATTTAACATTTTTATATGATAGCTGTAGCATCTGTATGACATTTGATAGTCAACCTAATACTCTATTTTTTTTTTTTTTTTTTACTTTTCCTCTACAGAAAAAGTGGAAGCAGGAGAAATTACTGTATATAAAGATGAGATAAAAACACCTCAGTATGGAGATATGTATGTCCTTGATAAGAATTTTGGTAAGTATTTGTTTGAGTTGAAGATTATTTACACAGGTTTATCACTTTCACTATATCTATAGTTAACTGTAAAACATAGACAGTCTATGATTTGATATTATGGATCAGTGCTGTTAGTATTTGATTTGATTTAAGATTTATCATTCTTTTACAGTTCCATTTAGTGATTCAGTTCCCTGGGTGAGGGAGTACTACTATAAGGCTCACAATATACTCATGGAAAGGTTTACACTGCGAGATTCCAAAATGGTATTCACGCATCCACTCCCTCCTGCAGCAAAGTCAGTTTTCACCCTTGTTGAGAACGAGCCTCAGTTGTGCATTGTGCATTATGAAAAGGGCAACATTGGACGTGGAAAGATAAAACAGAAGGTATTATGGCAGGGGTTATTCTCTCTTTCTATTTGGTGTTCTTTTGTCAAGTATTCTGTTTAACTGAGTTGTCTATTATCCCTATTTTAGGATATAAGTAAAATTGGTTTACAATTACAAAGTAGTATTGTTTCATATATAGTAGACAAATTGTAGTAGAGATAAGATAATTTGCTTTTATCATTGAAAAAAATATTTCTAGGTTTGCAGTATTTCCAAAGATCTAACCCTTTTTCTGTTAGGCTCAGGACCTCATGGTACAGAGCAAGTCAGATCTCTTGTTTGATTTTAGGTTAAGGTCCAATCAGTTTATCTATTTCCGGATTTATTTCCAGTCTGCAAAATCAGAAGAAGCAGAACGCAACAAAAAGATATACACAGAATCCAATTCAAACTTGACACTGTCACTGGTGGCTGCAATGCTCTCCAATCCTGATGAGAAAAGAATCGTCAGTGCTCCAATACTTAACCCACAGCCGTTCCAGGTGTACCTTCTGAGGTTACCATCAGAAGATAATACCAGTAGGTTTAGTTCCAGTTCTTGAAAGCAATTTACTTTTTTTAAAGTAAAAAAACAAGTAACTTCAGCAGAACATACTTGTTTTGATTTTTAAACTTGTGGAAAATCCCAATTTTTATATCAATGAAAGTTTGAATTTGTGAAATATTTATATTCTTTATGTATTTTTCTCTGTATCCTTGGAAATTTATTGTTCTCAATTTCATAGAAGTAATAGACAACTACAGATGGACAGACAAAGGCTTCAAGAGGTGGCCTTTAGGAGTAAGCAACTCAGAGACAAAGCTGCTCTGCTTCCATTGCCCAATGAAGATGGCACGTACTGCCATGTGTACAGCCCTAATGAGACATGAGTTCAAGCACACGACAGCCTCCCCTGACCTCAGAGTTGTACACTACATGCCTACAAGAGAATTCAGGGAATTTATTGTTATTTCAAATGCTGCCAAACAGGTATACATTCATGTTTGTAACTAGTATAGATTGGCGATATGTGTTTCTTATAGAAAGTTGACTTCTAAGTTTTACAAGGTATATAGTGTTCAGTAAGTTATAAAGCAAATGACATGCTACATTATTATTTCAGCTCCAAATGACATCTGAGCTGGCAAGGGAGGGCTGGGAAAACATGGAACTGGAGTCAGAGGCACCTCTATATGTTTCCTCGAGTCGCCTCAAACCCATCACAGTGTGGGACCTGCTGACCAGAGATGCTCAACATGCCAGTCTTACAGGTCTCGTTAGGATGGAAATCATCAACCCTCAACCTGGGGGTGTTTACCTCAGTACCAAATGTGAGCTCCTCATATTATTTATATTGTTATTGTTATTACTGCAATTGTTATTATTGTTATTATATTCTGTTGTTATTATTATGATGATGATGATGATGATTATTATTATTATGATTATTATTATTGCTATTACTATTACTAATATTATTATTACTATTATTGTTATTGTTATTATTATTATTATTATTATTATTATTATTATTATTATTATTATTATTATAATAATAATAGATCTTCCTTACATTCACTGCTCCCCTTCCACTTTAAGCCCTACATCTGCCTCCTCCCACTTCCCTATCTTCCACCTTAATCTCCCCCACTTTCCTAACTCCCCTAACCCCTTCCCTCCCTCTTTCCCACATCCCCTCTTCCTTCTCCCTCCCTTTCCCCTTCCCCTTACTCATCTCCATTTTCTATTTAAGCCCCTTCCTCTCCCTTCCCTTCCTTTCCTCCTTAAGCCTTCATCCCCATTCTTTCTTCTTCTCTCCCCTTTCCTCTTTAAGACCCCTTTCTTATCCATTGTACTTTCCCCTTCCCCATCTACCTCACAACTTGGAAAGTATCCAAATAATAATAGTTTATAAACTGATGCTTTAACTACCTCATTACAGTGCCTCAGAGCAGAAGTTGGTAATAATAACAATAATGATAATTATGCAGTGTGTAGGCACAGTGTGCAAATGAACAGAAGAAACATAAGTAGAATAATAATATAGACTGTTGTTATTGTTATTATTATTGTTGTTTTTGTTTTTGTTGTTATTGTAATTATTATTATTATTATTATTATTATTATTATTATTATTATTATTATAAGATTTTTGTAGTAATGGGAGGCTGTTTTACAGCTCTTTCAATTATACTATATTTTTTCCAGATGAAGCACCAGATTTACTGGTTTGGGAAGAACTAGGAAGAATCCAGATTCAACCAAGACTGTACCAAATAGTTGAGGTTTGTGAGAAGATCAGTGATGCACAACCATATCTCCTGAGATTATGCTACACATCACCCAAAGTTCCCCACAAAGTTTTGGTGCATTACTTAGGGGACACAAGACCCTATCTCATTAAAGAATGTGAGATAGTGATTGATGAGTACACAGGAGAACCAGCATATATAACCAAGGGATTGTGTAAGGATTATTCTTTTGTGAAAATGGTATATTTGGTATGTTATCATATTCACCTCATAATTTAGGAGAAATTAGTTAGTCATACAGATATAAATTTTGATGTATATATGTGAGTTTATGACACAAGTGAATAGCCTTATGATATTTTCTGATGAACAGGGAAGAAAGGCAAACGGAAGGCCTACTTGAGCTCAGAATATGCACTGGTGGAAGAGAAGCTGTACAGGATCAGCAGCCACCACATGAGAGATGTTGGTTGTATGCCACTCAAGCTAGAGGACCTTGACATTACAGTTAAGCTTGATCCACACAACCTCCCAGATGACAAAGAGGAACTTATAGCTCCAGGTGATGATTAGTACCTTTTGTTTCCATTTTTTGCATGTGATAAGTATGATGGTGTCTTCTAGTCTTTTGATACATTGGTGATCAATTATTACAAATACTTACTCTGGAGTGAATAACTGCATATAATCAATAATCCTTTCTTTTATTTCATATTTCATGTATGATATGTATGAATATATTCATTATTAATGACTTAAAATTTGGTATTATAGATAAACCAGGTCTCTACCTTTATGGCCACAGGATGATGAAGAAGAGGATAGTTCGTCTCCTAGGTACGCTGAACTTATAATATATTCTGTGCCTGAGGTGTTTGATATTTGTTCTTTGAAATTTTGCATATCATAGTATCAGATACAAATATTAAGGCATCTCTAAGATAGGAAGAACAAGATCATAAATCAGAATGATTTACTTTTTATTAGGAGTTATATATTGATTTTCACAAATTTATTTTGTATATTGCTTTCATAACAGAAATAGGTGAACACTATGAACTTAACAATTTTATATTCCAGAAAATCTTGATCGGAGTCGTAAAACACAAATTCCCATAAAGAATCCTGAGGCAGGAGAAGCATATTTAGTAACAAAACCCTCTGGCAGTAAGTAGAGAGTGAATATATTTTATCACTTCTATGCATTGTACAGATGGAATTGTTAACACTGTATGTTATTTAACTTTCATGTCTTAGGATATGGAAACTTTGGACTCTTTATTTGTTATCTTTATTTATTTTTTTTTAATTACTTTTAAAATTATAAGGAAAGATAAAAAAATAGTTTTCTTTTCAAATTTCAGCACCATTTGTTAATTATATGAATAATACAGTGAATAGAGTAATAACTGGTTATTGAATATTTAGTTCACTTTTGAATAGAAGTGACATAAGAAAAGCAGGCAAGACATATATCTCTGATATATAGCTAGTGTATGTTTTTTGTCAACTTCTGTGTGTTTCTGTATGTATGAGTGTATATGAATTAATTTATATGTTCATGTGTATACACAGATACATTTGTTACGTTATTAATACCTTCATCTGCTGATTACAGCTAAGGCAGCTATAGACTCCTACAAATGGACCCAGAAAGGATGGCAGCCCATACCTCGGAAGGACCCCCTAGTTCTGTGGCGCTGGGGATTACTGCGGCACAAAAAGCAGACGTGGGCACCACCTCTCATTCGCATAGATTATGTGCACCTCAAAGTCAATCCAGATCTCATGCTAGTCCATTATATTCCAACCAAAGATAATGAAATGATGCTGGAAATTAAAAGTGCTATTGTCCCTGTAAGTAACATTTTAGTGTTTTCTGTTTATAATTTGTGGGTATTATATCTTGGAGTAGCAAATAATTGATAGTAAATTTTGCAAAAACAAAAAAAGTGTATGTGCAAAGTCATTATTTTAATTGGTAAATTCAAGCAGAGTGGGAAGAACAGAACCATTGCTCTGTTACAAATAATTACCATACTCTTTGGGCAGTATTTTTGTTTATCAAGATTTTTATCAGTTTAATTGCAAATATGATCCAGAAGTAAGGAAAGTAAAGTAATTTTATGTTACATTCACCAGTGTTGCTGCTGATTATTCTATGACAAGAATACCGTGTTTTCACAGGTCCGTGCCCAGACACACTCTCTCTTGTCCTTGGGAGATGTAAACTTTGGTCAGCACTCTCAGTTGCTAACCAACAGTGCTCTTCCTCCAAGCCACATATGGGAACTGCTTAATGCTGGAGGAGGGTTATCTGAGCCACTCACTGAGCCTCAACCTGGAGGGGTTTATGTTATTAATGTAGGTGCCAAAGGTATGTTATGGAAAAACAAAATCCAATTTTTACTTCAATGAGAAAGGTTTGTGTTATTGTAATGTTTATGCAATATTTCAGTTCAATTACTTTCTCTGTCAATATTTTTCTTTCAACATTGTTTTCAGAGAAGTTGGACTTGTTCCGCTGGAAGACAGTAGGTGACATTCGACTGTCTTCCAATGACTATGGCCTGATGGAAACATCCTACCTTATTACATGGGAGCCAGAGGGACTTTTTGCTCGCCTCACCTACCACACACCTCTTATCAAGAACAGGACAGTTATACATTACCTTGGGGATTGCAGACCTTATTATGACAAAGCTAAGGTTTGTAATATTCAGCATATATTTACAATTTTTCTCATTATTTAGACAGGAAGACAGAAATCAGCAATGAATGTTATTCAGTTTGTAAAATGAAGATAATTTATGCCTCATAAGGATTAATAATAAGTAAAAAGTAGTTATAAGTTTAAATCGCTTCCTTCAGGCTGAGGAAGAGGAGCGTCAGAAGAAATTGGAGTACATTAGGAAGAAGACTGGAAGCTCTCTAGATATTGATTCAGTTGGTGGTCATGATGCTCATCTGTCTCTTTCGGACATTGGACCCCGAGATGCTGCCACAGAAGCAGTTGGCTCCATCTTAGCAGGCTTAGGATCAAATATCATGGACACTGATAACCTCAATCAAACTTTTGCTGAATTAGGTAAATTATCCAGTATATTTTCATATCTAATGTGTTTCTAAGGAAAAAATTTGATGAACAAGTCAAAGCATCCACACATGCATGTGTGCTCACACACACATTCACACACGCACACGCACATGCACATGCACACGCACACGCACACGCACACGCACACGCACACGCACACGCACACGCACACGCACACGCACACGCACACGCACACGCACACACACACACACACACACACACACACACACACACACACACACACACTCATGTATACACAGGAGTCTTATTAGTATAAACCATTAGTATGTGGTATTATTAGATTATGAAGTTAATTTGAAGGTAATCTTTTAGTGCTTTCCTTTAAAAACAACATATATAAGAACAAAAAGATATGTGTATGTTTACATATTTTAATCCCAGAGTCTACATTGTTTTATGATTTTCAGAAATGATATTACTTACCATGAAACCTAAAGATTTTATGGAATTCTAAACACATATAGTGACTTATTTAGCCTTATCTCCTTCATACTCTAAATATCCCTTTCCTCTAGAAATGCTTACTAACAGAAAAGATGTGTTTATTGCTCCACACTTCTTACAGTAAGATTTACATGCTTTCTTAACAAGACTGGAATGTATTTCTCTATCTAGGAGGAGAGGTTGAAGGTTTGTGTGAGGACCAGTTGTCGCTTCTCACATCACGTCCGGAAGATGAGCACCTGCGTGACTGCAACCTTACCCCTATTGAAGTTCCCTTTGGGTCTATCTCCACATCAAACATTGTGAAAGAACTCTTCCCACAGGGCTTGCCAAAGATAACTATCCAGAAGGTAAAAACTTATTTCCAAATTTCTGATTGCAGTGTAGCTCATTTGCTTTGAAGACTGGCAACTGCTTTAATTACCACAAGTGAATACATGAGTTTTTAATATTTCACAGTTCTTGCTCATATGTTATTATAGATTACAAGTATATTAATAAAAGATATACATGTCCTGAATGTATTTTATCTTGCAGTTCAGGAAGGCTTTCAGAATTAATGTACTAAATATATCCCTCACTTTTATGAGAAAAATATACAAAAAATGTTAAAAGTAAAGCAGGAAAACACTGAACAAGTAAAATGAGAACAAATTTAGAATTACGGTTAAGGTTAAGAATTACTTTCTGATAAAGCGCAAAAAAAAAAAGAAGAAACAAAGAACGGGGTATTCGTACTTGAAATTTTACATACTCATATGTCAGTTCAATTGAATCATATTTTTTTTATCGAAATACATCTGTAGACAGTAGTTTGATGCACTGAACTAAGATATCGATATTGTATATTATTTTTGGTAAACTGTATTATACTAAGATTCATAGCTAGATATATATATAAGGGTTTGCATGTCCATAGGTGTTCTCAGATCATTTTCCAGGAAATGTGTTTGTTAACTGTTTATTAGTTTAAACTTCCATTATAAACCTAAGCATCAATATGTTCACATTAATGCAGTACAAGTACATGTGCACATACTTGTAGATGTTTAAGTTGTAGATGAAAGTTTAAACTAATGAAATATTATTAAATGCATTTGCAGACAGTTTGTCTAAGAACACCTTTGTATGCCTTCATATGATACTGCTTTGCAACTCACCTCTCCCTTATTAGTATATGAAGTGTCTCATTATCAGTAAATCTATTTTGTGCATTGTAGGTTTTTCTACTATAGTGCATAGATACAATATGGAAAAATGGAAAATGGTGAGTTTGTTATTTTTATCCTTCCCTGGAAAAAAAAAAAAAAAAATTCAGTGGAGTAAAAAGAAATGAAGGAGAGGCTGGGTGAAAGTACCTAGCTAGAGTGTGTAGAAAAAAAAAAATTGTGTAAAAATTGCCAAGTATTGCTTTTATGGGTAACAACCTCTAAATCAAATTCCTGTTGCTGTCCTCATAATGTAGGTCCTTGAGGTAGAACCATCAGAGCCTTTGCCCAAGAAGAGAAGACTGAATAATGTCATTGAGCTGCCAGAGCCAAAGACCGAACTCAAGGATGATGACAAGATAGTGACAGGTTCATTCCGAGCTGTGCCACGAAGTCTAGAGGACTGGAACGTAAGTGTATGAATATCATGAGAAAGTGACTTTATACTAATGGAAGTGCAGTTCATTGTTTAAAGGATATGATTACAAAATTTATCCTGTTTTTCTGCATTAGGAGGAAGAGGAAGAAAAAGATGACTGTGAAGAAGGGGAGCAGCTCCATCGCACTCGCCTGCAAATAACCACTACTGAACCACGGACTATTGTTTATGTTAGGCAGCAGGAAATTCTGACTGAGAAACAGATTGATCATATGTTGTGTAAGTGAAAAACTGTTTTCAGAATAAGATCTACAGGAGCTTTATGTATCAAAACATATATTTGTTCCATATCTTAAATAGGATAATTTGAATATTTAACAACCAGCTCTAAGTTGAGATTATAAGCAGAGCAGTTTTGATTTGAATATTTTTAGAGAACATTTATTGATATTAGTTGTTTTATCAATATGTAACAAAAATATGTTCTCAATATTAGAATCTTCTGATGATCATTGCATTGATCATTTGTTTTCTAGTTTTGATATATAAATTTCTCTATAATTTCAGGTTACCCAGATATAAGTCGTATTTCCTTCCTGCCACTCATAGATCCACAGCCAGGAGATGTCTTTGTTGTTGCAATACCATACAGAAAAGGAGGTATGAAGGGTGTAGAGTGTATAGTTATACTTTCAGCGTATTTTAGTATGTTATTAGTATATTTCTTTTTTTTTTCCATTTGAACAATATGAACATAATCTAGTACAATTCTCTCTGACTTCATAATATATCTCAGTGTGTATGCAAATACTGTAATTTATATTGTGGATAATTTTTTAATTATCAGAAGTCAGAAGAATGGATTGCTACAACTGGTATGTTACCGGACACAAGAAAGGAAAATACAGACGAACTTACAGCTATATCAAGGAAGAGGATGGCAACATCAGTCACAGATTACTGCGTTACACCTATGACTATGCCTGGGAGAGTATGCCTGGATTACGAGTGATTCACTACATACCTGGGGATCCTCGCCACCAAGTTCAGTGTGTGGGGAAGAAGCCGAACTTTGAGGTGTGTTTATGGGACTAAAAGTTTGAATCATCGGTTTTGGTAGCTGTTTAT